TTAACATTTGTGGCATGTCTTCTGTGTTCTAAAAAGATACCGAGATTAATATACTCTGATTTCCGAAAACATACAAGCCACTTCAGGTAATGGTAATATAACTGAATAATTTTAGCTCTCCACCATTCACTAAAAGAAAGGTGCTGGGAGGTCAGTGAAAGCTTGGAGGAGGAGATGAAATAAAAACAAATTTGAAAGGATAAGTAGGAATTTTGTCACATTGAGGGCAGGCAGATATAAGCAGAATACATACCATATGCTGTCTTTACAAATTATATTACATTGTATTGCATGTGGCTGTTCAGAGTGAAAGGAGTACCTGCTCCAGTGAAAGTCTTGAACTTCTCTGTTTCCCTGGGAGTCGGTGACTAATCGCTAGCTTCAAGTGCAGCCTCATAGTCAACTGTTTGTATCTCAAGGTGACCCTAAATGAAACATCTCTGTCTGCCCAGGAGCTTCTTTCTTTGATATGAAAATAACATAACTTTTGTCTATCAAAACATTGGGGGAAATGGTGAACACCTAAGAAATGTCACACTTGTAGCTTCCTCAAGTAGCTTCCTCTACTTTCAGTCTTTAACTGGTGTGGCCTCTGTAGCATTCGACACAGTTGACCACATCTTTTCATTGATTCCTTTTTCTCTGCCTGCCCTTTATTTTGTTACATTGGTCCTCTTCTCTCAATTTGAACAGTTTTTTTCTACAAGAGGTTTTCTGTGGTTCCTCGGTCATTTAAGTCCTCTTAGGAAGTGCTAGCATAGCACTACATAATGTTCTTGCCACTACTCTCATCAGATGTTATTATAAGTATGTGTTTCATTACCTGCCCTCATAGCTGGATATAGGTTGACTTTGAAAAAATATTAAGCTTATTTAGATCACTGTTCAGTCTGTTGTTGTTACTGTTGTCTTTAAGATGCAGCGTATTCAACAAGCTGTTCTAATTACTGTATTCTTTGAGCTTAGTAACCTCTCCTTTCATTATGAACCAGTTCCTCTTCTACAAGCCATCTCTGGTCCCTTTTTTGCTAAAGATTAATAATGAGAATAACGAAGCAAGTGGTTATTTATGCAGTCATGATTGACAAGGTTATTAGAACAGGAATCTGCCCAGAAGTGGTGATTAGGTTATGAAAATGTTACAGAATCCTGAAACCAATCACCATTTTTGACATTTAAGAAATACTATTCCCACTTTAATCATGATGACCTGTTGTAAAAGTATTTATACAGAATAATCTCATTGGACAGTAATTTTTATACCAACAGCATACATAATTAAGTGTAAGGGTGAGGTTCAGAAATGATCTGAAAGAAATAAGGGCCTTGGGAGGAAATTTCCACAATGAGAAGGAACAGACTCTTGGATAGAACTGTCTGTCTCCCAGACACCTGATCTACACAGTTAGGTGACCTTTTCTGTTTATCATCTTCATCCTGAGCACTTCACAAGTTTGAGGAGCTGTTGGAAGAGGTACCCCAGGTTAGGTAGCTATGTTCTTCATACTAGACCAGTGATCGACGAACTCATTAGTCAACAGAGCCAAATATCAACAGTACAATGATTGAAATTTATTTTGAGAGCTAAATTTTTTAAACTTAAACTATATAGGTAGGTACATTGTTATTAACTTAATCAGGGTACTCCTAAGGCTTAGGAAGAGCCACACTCAAGGAGCCAAAGAGCCGCATGTGGATCGCGAGCCGCAGTTTGCTGACCACGGTACTAGACTGTAAAAAATGTAAGAAGGTATATGGACAGAAAATGTCCTCATGATGGTTTTATTATTGAAACACTGACTTAATTAACAGTATGCAAAAACCAAGCAAACAAGACAAAAATCTAATTATATTTCTTTATGTTTAATACTAGTGTCCCGGTGCATGGATTTGTGCACATTGAAAGGAAATTAATTAGAAGAAATATTTTAATATTGCTATTCGCCCTTTCTCTATAGTAGAAGTGTCAACCAGATTCACGATCAACAATGACAGATGGAAACACATGCGTGCGATTGGGGCCATGTATCGCGCATGCACGAGTCAACTTAGCCTTTTATATATATATAGAATAAACTTGCTTAATTAGACCTGCTTTCTGATGTGACTAAACTTTTTCCAGCCCAGTGAAGCACCCCAAATTCTCTTTCAGGTAATTGTCAGCAACACAGCAGTAATTAACAACACGAAGCAGGTTATTATTGTAGATCACGCAGGGAGAACAAAGGGTAAAATATTTGACTGTAGAAGTGTTTGACTATATTCTGCACAGCGAGAAAACCTGAAGTCATTTTCAAGGTCCACCATTTCTTACTTCTTTTCAGTCAGGTCAAGTTTCTAAACTTTCTAAATCTCCATTTTCCAGCTAATGAAAAGAAAATGGGATTCTACTGAGTCTCCTTTCTACCTACTGCAGGACTTCTGTGAGGATCAAATGAGATGAGGCATGGGAAAACACTTCACAAACATTTGGTTAAAGTGTAAAATGTTTGCACCTGGCTATAAAGCAAGTTGTGTTCCTGGGCTGAAGAAACTCCAAGGAGGCTGGTCCCTAGGGAGAGGAAGCTGGGCGTTGCTACATGATGTCATTACCTGGTGCCCAGTGTCCATTTCCGGGCTGGGCTGAGCTGGGGGCCGCATTTTGCGCTATGGGATCTTGGCAGCCTTGGCTGTGATTTGGTGGGGTGTCACTCTGGGGTGGTGGTGGGTCCTGTGTCCCACTTGAGGGAAGCTGAGTGTTGGTTCATCAGCGTGGTGCCAGTGTGCGTCATGACAGCTCCTGCGTTGAGTCTCTGTCCCCTGGTGATCAGTCCGCGTCATAGCTACCGGTCAGATGGACACTTAGCCATATATATAGATAGATATATCTATATATCTATATCTATATATCTATATCTATATCTATATCTATATCTATATATCTATATCTATATTCAAACTTTGTAAGTTAGGCAGTAGTTATTTTTACCAGACTAATACGATCACTTCTACCCTGTATTTGTTTTCTGTGGGTTTGTTTTTGCTAACAGCTTTATTGAGATATAATTCATGTATAATAAAATTCACCCTTATAACGTATATGACTCAATGGTTTTGATGTATTCCTAAAGACAGCATCTACTTCCAGAGCATGTTTATTACCTCCCCATAAAACTCGTAACCGTTAGCAGTTGCTTCCTGACTCCCCACACGCCCCCCCAGACCTTCACAACAACTAATGCACGTTCTGTCTGTATGGATTTGCCTGTCCTGGACATTTCTTTTTCTTCCCTGCAGTTTTTCTCATATACTAGGTACTTAACAAAGTTGAAGAAGGGAACAGAAAGTGGCCATGGATATATGTAACTGTTACTGTGACCTGGTATCCTTAGAACTGAGTACTGTTCTTTCTCCTAGTTCTGTGGTCGCCAAACTGCGGCTCGTGAGCCACACGTGGCTCTTTGGCCCCTTGAGTGTGGCTCTTCCACAAAATACCGACTTCTGTGCATGGGCCACGAAGTTTCAATCGCACTGTACATGCGCGCCCGCACGTGGTATTTTGTGGAAGAGCCACACTCAAGGGGCCAAAGAGCCGCATGTGGCTCATGAGCCACAGTTTGCCGACCACTGCCCTAGCTTATTGGAAGAGGTATTCAAAACAAACAAAAAGAAGAGCAACAGTTTCATATAAATGAAATCATATAATATGTAGTATTTTGTGTCTGGCTTCTTTAGTGTAATGTATTCAAGGTTCATTTATTTAGTTGCAATACTTTGTTTCTTTTTATGGCTGAATAATATTCCATTGCATACTAGTAGATATACCACATTTTATTTATTCATTTATCACTTGGTGGACATTTAGGTGTTTTCACTTTTTTACTATCCTATATAATAAAGAGCTAATATGCTAATGACACTGGATGGCAGAACAACCTTCCAGAATGACCAGTGGGTGGGGCTGCAAGGACCAAGGCGGCAGCCGGGGGTGCGAGGGCCGAGCCCCTTGCACACATTTTGTGCATTGGGCCTCTAGTTATGAATAATGCTGCTTTGAATATGTATGTACAAGGTTTTACGTGGGCACATATTTTCAATTCTCTTGGCTCACATGGTAACTCTATCAACTTTTTGAGACACTGCTAAATTATTTTCCAAAGCAGCAGCACTATTTTATGTTCCCATCAGCTATGGAGAAGGGTTCTCATATTTCCATATTCTCGTCAGTGTTTATTATTGTCAGTCTTTTTTGTTATAGTCATCCTGGTAGATACAAAGTGGTATCTCGTTGTGGTTTTGATTTGCATTTCCCTAATGGCTAGTGATGCTAAGTATCCTGTCTTGTGCTGTTTGGCCATTTGTATATTTTCTTTGGGGCAATGTCTATGCAAGTCTTTCGCCCATTCTTAATTAGGTTAATAGTGTTTATTGTTGAGTCATGTAAGGTCTTCTTATGTTCTGGATATCAGTCCCTTATATATATGATTTGCAAATATTTTCTCTCATTGAGATTGTCTTTTTAATTTCTTCCTTTGAAGCACAAACTTCTAAATTTTGAAGTCCAATTTGCTTAATTATTCTTTAGTTGCTGTTTTTTAAGTGGTCCTTACCTAATCCAAGAAACAAAGATTTACTTTTATGAGTTTTATAGTTTTAGCTCTTGCATTGAGGTCACTGATCCCTTTTCAGTTAGTTTTGTATATGATGTGAGGTAGAAGTCCAACCTCATTCTTTTGCATGTGTTTGCATTTGTTTTTATTTATTCAAATTTAAATGTTTAGAGAGAAATGTCTCTTAAATGAGATACTCATTGCTACTCTTCGTGAATATTATTTCATTGGTGGGGGTGGAATACTTTTACTGTGTTCATCTGAAGACTGCACTTACCTACACTCTCACCTAATATGGTGCATTTCTGTCTCTATTCTGCTTATTGGGATCTGCAGAGCAGCACTCATGGATGCAGTTTGAATCCATTTACTAGGTCTTTTTCCCCTTAATTTGCAATCTCACCTCTTCAGCTGCAGTATAGAGAATGCCAAGATCTTCTAAGCCTCTATCAAAAATATCTGTCAGAACAGCAAGAGAAGCTCACCGTGTCTCTCTCAGTGCTTGATGCTGCCAGAATGCAGGAACAACAGGTAAGCGTCTTTATTCTTACCTTTCTTGTCTTTATTGGATCAGCATGATATCAGAAGAGTCATTTGCCTTTTACTTTGTCTGACAGTATATACAGGGAGAGCCAAAAGTAGGTTTACAGTTGTTTGTATGAAAAATGCAACAGTTAATAAATAATAATATACAAACTCTGTTTCGGGTACTCACAACTGTAAACCTACTTTTGCCCCACCCTGGAATGTTGTCTTAAAACATGAAAGTGCAGCATGTGATTGAGTCAGTGTCTTTTTTTTTAATCTTTAATATATTTTTATTAATTTCAGAGAGGAAGGGAGAGGGAAAGAGAGATAGAAACATCAATGGTGAGAGAATCATCGATAGGCTGCCTCCTGCACGGCCCTCACTAGGGATGGAGTCCACAACTCAGGCATGTGCCCTGACCAGGACTCAAACCGTGACCTCATGGTTCATAGGTCGATGCTCAACCACTGAGCCACACTGGTCGGGTGAGCTGGTGTCTTCTACTTCCCTCTTTCCCTTTCCTCTTCTGTTCCTGGGGCCCAGGTGTCGGGAAGCAGTTGTGGGTCAGTGGGATGCTCCTGGTTGTGTGAAAGCACAGCAGGAGTGGTAAAGCAGGCTACTGTTCTGTTGCTTAATGAAAATCAGGTGGCCTGTTTGTGCCTGTTTGTTACTCATTGTCCATAAGGAAAACACTAATAAGTTTTTCCTAACTCGTGCTTAAATTTTTAGAATCATAAAAGTGACTTGGTAACTTACAAAAGCTTTAACTGGATAAAATTAAAATATTTTGCATGATTTTATGTTTGTGTGTATATGTATTAGTCACATAAATATATGAGAGTGTTTGTAGATAAACATTTACATACATTTCATCAAATGGTATATTAAATGAAGTTTCAGAACTTTGCCAGGTGTGATATGAAACAAGCTTTACAGACTGACTTCTTGCTCTCCAGGAATTTATTTCATTTTCTTATCCATATGAATTTAAATTTTCAAATGGATGAAGATAAGTCTTGTATATTAAAACATTTTAGAAAAAAAAAATGTGTAGTACAGTCAAAGTCATTCCTACTGTGTTAAAGCACGGAAATTGTGCTCAGGAATTATCCTCCCCTCTGAATTAGAATCCTGTCCGAATGGCTTTGTGCAGCCCTTCTGAAGAACACCATTGCTGTTCAACGTAGAGGCAGCTGAGCTGCCTCATGTGGGTTAAGAGTTTTGGCCAAGAAAACTCCAGTTATTAACCTAAAGTTTGGACATATGGAAAACTTAAAAAAAGAAAAGGAAAGAAATAATTTTGCTGGAATGTGGTAAAACTTAGATTTTTTTAAATTGTTTTTTCTTTATTGATTAAGATATTACATATGTGTCCTTATCGCCCCATTGCCCTCCCCCCCCCCCGCCCCTCATGCCCTCACCTCCCCCCCCCTCCCGTGTCTGTGTCCATTGGTTAGAAAAATCTGCTTTTCTTTTGAAGTCAAGACATCTATAAAAAATGGCCAAAGTATGAATGGTTTATTTGTATTCTAATTTGAAATACTTTCTTTTGTTCTGTTTTCTGAAAACCTAGGCTGTAAAATGAAGAGGAACAGTCAGTCTTGATTGTGTTTATCTGGATTTTTCCTGCCACTTTGAAAATAGCAGGCAGTTTTTAAGGTGGTCCTTGCCTATTGCTCTCGGTGGGACAGAGAAAATTGTAGCATGAAGATCAGATGTTTTACTTTTGTTTTGGCGTTTTCCCTCCCTTCCTTTACATGACATAGGTGTGTTAGAGGGCACAGAAATAAAGGCAGCCCATTGCCAAGAGTATGTGAGGGGAGGTGAAGGGCCTTTCAGTAGCCAGCATAGAGTCTTATGACCTTAAGGATAGACAGTCAAGAAATCAGCACTAGAGGCTCTCAAGGCATCTAGAATCTAGATAAAGAGGCCTTTTTCTATTTCTGAAACGGGAAAAGAAAACTTAAGATAGCTAAAAAAAATGTTTGCTTTAAATGTCCTTGTTTCTATGGCTAACCCTCATTGGCTCTTAATCTGACATATGGTTTTTGAGTATCAGAGCACAAGTATAGTAGAGATGGTGGGAAACTATTTGCTTTTCCTGTGAGTAGCCACAATGTCAGGTAAACATACATTTTAATTTGCTCTCAAAATAAGTTGTGTGTGTCTTTTTTTTTAAACCTCATCTCCAGATGTTGTGGTGGAGATGGCAGCAGTTCATTCTTCATGAGACATTCATTTGACTTTGAGGGACTTGTTCTGTTTCTTCTTTGCATCGGTTGCCATCTGGCTCAAATTGCATATTATAGGTTTTGCTTATAGTATTATTAAATCCATAGCTCTGCAGAAGAATGCCCTGTCTTATGATTTTCTTTTTCAAATTCTGCCATTTCCTTGAAAAGAAATTGGTCCATTTACAAGGTGAATTGTTCTTTGCTTTTCTCCATTCTCTTTCTTGCTCTGCCTCAAAGATAAATGCATTTTACATTCATTTTGGAAATCATTACAAGTTTTTCATGGTGCATTCTACAAAGGTTTTTCACTTGTTCTGTGTAGATTGAGATATTTCACTGGTGTGTGTTTGTTACTCCATTTCCTTATCTTAAGAAACAGTGCTCAGTGTAGCCTTAGTCTTAGATATGGGAGAATCTAGTAACCATGGTTTTGACCAATGTACATTTTAGAATATGACTTTTCTTATCATAATTGAATGGTATTTCTTTTTTGTGAACCTGAGCTTAAACAGTGTCACCTCAAACTGTGATCTTATAATTTCTATTTCAGTCATATTTGATAGGCTGCACCATTTTAGAAATATTAGTTTCTCCTCATTTCTCCTTAACTATATTATAAAAATAGAGTGACCGTAATGCCGTAATGGCATAATGACCAAACGACCGGTCACCAGGAGGTGCATTGTTGGGTCTTGTGGCGTGGCAGGGGTCTGGGTCCCGCCGGCGCAGAGGATTGGTCTCTCGCGATTTCGCGTGCTGGGCCTATAGTATTATGATAAAACATAGGCAGCATCTGAGTAGCTGTATTTTTAAAATGTTAGTATTCAGGCCTAACTTATTATTTTTCTTATCTCTCTCTTTTTTTTTTTTTTTTTGGTAAATGTACAAAGGTAAATTTGGAATGTTCTTGAGATTTCTCCATTTTCTATAAAATGGATAAAACCATTATCACTTTTTAGCCAGCAGCAGTGGATATTAATGAATCTCTGCTGTTCTCATCTGGCCATTATATTCCATTTTATTAGTATTGTTTCTCTCTGGTTCCTTTTCTATTGCTGCTCATTATTTCCTCTTGTTTCTCTTTTCCCCTTCCATTCTTTGGCTTCTCTTTATTTCCCACCAAGTCTCTAGATGCTTTTCAATTTCTAATTCCTCTCTGGCTTTTGTTTCCACCATTCTGTCTGTCCTCCTACTCATTTAGGGAAGCTTACATTATTTCCTTTCACCTGCATTTGGAAGAATCCCTAAATAAAGGTCTTCACCTGTGATTGTGCCAAAATTACTTAAATATCTGTCTCATTACTTCCACTGCCACTACTCTATGCCATAGAATCTTGGAGCTACAATCCCTGCAGTTTTAAAAAAATATTTTGAGTTCTTTTTAGTTGAGAGTCATTTGCCATATCTACTTAGTAATCGTAGAATTAAAGATGTACTCTAGTGCAATTTGGAGTTGTAAGTTAAGAACTGGTGTGCATGCTGCTATTTTCCTGTCACACAAAGATGACCTGAGAATCTTTATTACAGTCCCAATAGCCACTGTTAGTCCATCCAAGTTGGCACAAAATTGATTTTCATTCCTGGTTTAAAGATCTTCCAGGACTTCTGCCTCCAGACAACAAACTGCATGAGCCATGCAATTGCCTGAGGACGCTACCCAGATAGAGGAGCCCAAGTAGAGACAGGTGGTCTCCATGAGCTGAGAAGATGGAGCTGGGAGCTTGAGGAGACCAAGGCGGGGTGAGATTTCAGAGCAGAAAACCAGTGAGGGGAGAGCTGCAGTAAGAGGGTACTTCAAACTAATTTTAAACTAGCTAATGATCAAGCATAAGTATGAGAATATGTAATGAGTCTGGGGGAAAGAACTACCAGAAGAGGGAACAATTCTTGGAACTTACATAGGCTGGGAATAGATCCTGTTTGTACCAAGCAGTCTGGCATCAGGTACAGTACTTAGAAGGGTATTGCATCAGAAAGGGCAAACTCAATCCTAGACTAAAAGGTGCTTTGGTTCTACCTAACAAAACTTAAAAGCAATACTTGAGGTAATTATATGCTCTCTGGTTTTTGTAGGTTTACCACTTACATCTTCGAGTTCTACTTTGGGACTTTTTAACATAAACTTACAGCAGTTAATGCTACCCTAGTGTCTACTCACAGAAATCTGTTAACTCACTTTTCTTAGACTGCCAGAGTTTCTTTCAAAGTGTTCATGAAATCTCACGACTTTTGCTCATGCCCAGTGGCAGTAAAGATTCAAACCTAAACCTTGGGATCTCCAGGTCAGTGGTCTTTCTGTTGCACTTCAGCTGCTTGGTTGGAAACAAGATTGGGATTCTAATTTTACTCTTCTGATAATTCAGTCGTGTGCAATTGGATAAGTCATTTAATTATCCATTTTTTGAGATACAGAAAATGAGACCACAGAGGGAAAGAGAAGAAGAAAGTATAAGGTCCTTTCTATTCTAACGTTCCTTTATTTTCTTAATCAATTTTTCTTCACTTTGCCCCTTGCTCAACCTTCTCCTACCCACTCCTTTTTCCTTTTTTACTTTTTCTCACCAGCTAACTCTCCTTACAATGAAGATTATGTGAAAGCTGTCTCTACTGAGTGGCGCATATACCGCAGAAACCCTCTCAGGGTTTCAGTGAGCTTTCCTTGTTGGCGGGAGCCATTTTCTGTTTTCCCACGAGCAGGATGTCACTCAGATTCTACTTTCTCTGTCTCTGAACACCGTACTCAAACTGAAATTAATTTTTGTGATCAT